GTAATGGCATTTTGCGCATCAACAAAGGCTTTTGTTTCTACTGAATCTGGGTCTTCCAACCATCTATAAGGATCTGCTATCTGTAAAAGAAAGTTTACCTTTTACATAATAATTATAAAATACACTTTTTTGTCAAATAACTTAAAAAAACTATAGCAGTAAAACTTTAATGTTTAATAACTTCAATTTTAATTTATATAGTAATACTTATAAGATAATATTTCTTTTTAAATATTTATATAATTCTTTGCACAAAAATATCAATATATTATTATATAAGCACAGTTAAATTTTTACTTTCTTAATTTAAATTTCTTTTACTATTTATGAAACATTTTTATCGTATTCTAACCTCTACGCCATGATAATTATCAACGACGCTTTCATCCCTGCGCGCCTCGGGATATTGTGTCTTCGTCATAATTTTCGATTGACTTGCACTCTTCTCTTGTACAGAATAATCGGCGGCCTAAATGCACAATAAAACTTTGTCTAATGATATTTACACACATGCAAAGTTCCGTTCTACATACGCCAATTGTCACCACAGACCAAACGCTAAATCACGTGACTCGAGTTGTCGCACCAATGTCAAATCAATTGTTAAAACAAAGTTTTAACCAATTCAAACAATCGTCGAAACAATACAGTGAAATGCAAAGAAACGACTGATTTCGTCAATCGGTTTCAGAGCAAGTTTATACAACTCGCTTTTACGAAGGTGTAGCATGTAGCACAGAAAGACGCCAGTCAGGATCACGTGACCGTCACGCACTCATGAAGGTAACTGCGGTGACAGGATTAGGATATATCCAGACGAACTTGGCGCATAAGGAAATAGGTTAGTTCGTAAAAAGATGCATAAGGAAATGGACAATTCAATTAGTTCAATTGATTTTTCGCTTGCTTTAATTAGTTTATATAATTCTTATGAACCAATTCATTTCCTTATGCATATGCATATGCACCTATGCAAATTTATCTGGATGTACCCTTATACGCGATTAAGAAATAACCTCTGACAACATATATGATAGGGCTTATCGTAAGTTCTCACAGGTGTGATTGTGGACGTGATGTAACGTGTCAGTTGTAAATCTTTGTGATTGTGAATCTTATCTATCTTCGCTTCACCGACGAGATTCTTGAATATTCCACGCCGCCAAAATCTCTTCAACGGACGTATCGTCATGTGCATCCTCTCGTCGTTCTTCGCCAAACACGGAAATGCTCCGAATACTTCCTGGGACAACGCGGCATAATTCAAGCGCTGTTATAACGCTAAATCTTTTCTTTCTTTTTTAAAGTCTGTAAGTACAACTATTTCATTTTAAATGTAAGAATATATATAATAATAATTGAAAGAAACGGATCTTCTTCGCACGAATGCTGTGTGTGTAATTCAGAAAAGTCCGCGATCAGATAAAGTTCTCTTTTTTTATCAATGTGCATATGTAAGTTTAATGTTATTACGCCCCGTGGGGGCGGAGGGGTGCGGGATATATCTCCTTATCAGTAGGCCTCAATTGCCCCCTCTTATAATAGACGATAATAATTGTCACGTGAACGAGACTTCACAGCGTTTCATGTTGCAAATACACGCAGTGTCGAGATATCAGTAGTACGTACAATATTATAAATAAATGAGAGAGAACGGAAATAAAAAGCGTCGAAAGGAGCATTCGTCCACTTGAACCTTGAAGTAACGCGATGATGATGATAACATTTTATGCTACTCGCTTGCGACATTATCATTATTGATTAAGTGGCATTTATGAGGAAATACTAATCTATATTTTATTTTATTTTATGCAGAACACGAGTTCCAACGCGAATGAGAATTAGAAACAATAAGCACAAGTCAGTATATAGTAACGTTTAACAATATAAGTTGTTATAAGTTAAATTAATTTAGTATTATTAATATTTAAGATACAAAGATGATCCAAATAGTGTAACAAGAGTTAAGAATCTAAATCAGATTATATTAAATGGTTGGGTCAGAATTTTAATTCTCTGTTGTGGACATTAACGGACGTTAGCTCTCTACTTGTCTATTGTGAGAAAATTATAGAATAATTTTTTTCAACATTCTAAAAATATTATGTCTTATTTTTCTATGAGAAATGATTTCTTCGTAATATCGTAATCAACAAATTCTTCGGTCCTCAACGACAGTTCACAGTGGTCAAGTCTGATTAACAGATTTGTTTATTTGACTGGATTTTCTAGTTATCTTTCTTCATTATTTAATTTTAAACATTTATTTTTTTTTAAACATAGTAGCGTAAAAAATTTCACTCAATAATCTCTCGATTCGTATTAGCTCTGTCTCCCGAGTCTAACAAGTCAAGCAGAATTATTGCCAAAGTATGATCAAATTAAACAAACATCATTAAAAAGAAGGGGGCTTACTTATCTTCTTAATGTAGATAGGTAGAGAAAGATAAGAAGAAAAGAAGCAAAAAAAAAACGAAATAAAGTACAACATAGAAACTGTTATCCATGATATTTCAGCCTTTTAAATATAAATGTTTAGACACTTAAATTTTTTAAATAAAATACAAGAATTTGCATCAGCCATAACGTTAACATGTAATATATAAAATAATACTAACTCTTCATTTATAGTGGAAAAGTCTCTTCTAACTGATAATGTAGAATGGGACAAAGTTGTTATTATTATTATTAATAAATAATTAATATTTAATTCCATAGTTAAAGATATATATTTTGAGAGAATGCTAGAATAAATAAGTGGAATATTTCAAAACAAATAGTCATAAAAGAGAATTAATATTTTAATTCAAATTAATTAGAGAACTGGGTTAATTGGACGAAGCAAAATCGTGTCAACGTTAAATATCAAAGTCCTATCAGACATCACCTGATCAATTAAGAGTCACACACTTTATCTGTTATTCGCTGACACATAAGGGAATACATAAAAAATAACGAAACGTTAAAAAAATAGCCTATCGTGTTTACTGCTCGTGCATGTTTATACATTTATAGATGTGCATATTAATAAAATCGACAGACATATGGCAAAGACGTTTGATGATGATTCGAAGTCGTTTCTTCGGCAACGGGGGGGCTCTTATCGCGATATTTACGTGCCTGAATCAAAATTCGGTCGTGCGGGGAAGAGTGGAGTAGAAGAGAGTGATTATATCACGCGCCGGTCAGCTGTACTTTGCGCCTCGAACTTAGATAACCTCTACAAGTATTAAATGAGATCCCCTCCTTGCTTATTCGCAAATGGACGGACATTAATGCGTCTTGTTCATATAAAATATAAGTCCGAAGACTCGGTTCATTTCATATTCGCGAGTAGTACGACTTACATCGATAATTCGCGTTCACGACGACGGCGGGAGAACTATTTGTGCGTCGTAATCAGCAGCACCACCGGCAAGCAGGGACGCAGCCAACAGAATCGTAAAGAGACCAATCGTTTATCTCGGAGACTACCTCGCGGCGGGTGAATTTAATTTTCGGTTCAAACTGTCAGCACACGGAGGAATGCAAAAGGACTGTCGAGATTGTTTGGGTATCCGGTACCGCATTAACTCCCTGGACCAAACGTGGAAGTGGTTGCACCAAACTATCGCTCTGCACGACTACCTTATTTCCATCACCGCGAGCGAGACCAACGTTTTCATGCGTTTTTTTCATTAAAGGCTATTCTTTAAAAGACTGAGTTAATCATCAAGGTCGATCTCGCAAGCGGCACAAAATAAAGGACCTTGTTCATTATAGATAAAAGACTGATATATATACACAAGAGTCCACGTCACGTTGACATTACACCAGGTAGTCGGCAGTTGATCAACCGCGTGACACCCAGGGAATTCTGCTCTTTCACACGCCACGCAATGCCTTTGTCCGCCAGACTGATCGCCGCTGTCAGGCGTTGTTCTCATAGCACTCAGCAAACTGCCAGGTACGCATCTACATATACTGACACGATCCAGAAGTCGGTATTTATATCGCAATCCACGGATGTGTTTGTCAATCTGGCACTGGAGCACTGGCTGTACCTGAACTTTGACTTTTCCAAACACCATGTATTACTTCTTTGGAGAAACAATCCCTGCGTAGTGTTCGGTCGTCATCAGAATCCCTGGCTGGAGTGCAATGTTCAAGCGGCTGAAAAAAGAGGCATTGTTCTGGCGCGTCGAAACAGTGGCGGCGGTACCGTTTATCACGACAATGGTAATCTAAATTTGACGTTCTTCACTCCAAAAGAGAGATATGATCGCAAGTACAATCTAAACATCATCACCAACGCTCTTTTCCGACAATGGAGCTTGAAGAGCGTGATCAACAAACGCGACGACATTCTAGTCAATGGAGATTGCAAAGTATCCTTTATATAACATAGAAAATCTATTCACAAAAATTTTTTTTCTAATTTATATGATAATTATCAAATATTTAATATAATCAATATGATCAATGTTATATAATATTCATTGAAACGTTTGAGTAGGAATAATGTAACAAGCATAAAACAAAAAATAGATTCTATCGCTATCTGTTGTGAAACCATATCTTGCCAGTTCTAAATTTGTTTTAGAATTAAAAATAGACTTCAAATATTGTGTGTCACACTTATATTATCATGTCTATGATATTGTACTAAAATCTTTTTATGTAATTTTCGAAAACCCATAAAAATCCATAAAACACATAAAAATATGTTTATCTTTATTTCTTTAACAATAATATGATATAGATATCTGGAACAGCTGCAAAGTTGGGACGACCAAATGCTTATCATCACTGTACGCTTTTGGTTAATGTGAATAAGGCCGATCTGAGTTCAGTTCTTGAAAAAAAAGAGGTAAAGTTTTCCTCGATATGCACACGCGTGTATATTTTTAAAAATAAATTATACGCACGTCATAAAATGATTGCATAACAGTACATCGTAACAGTATATCAATACAGTTAATTCTAAAAATGATGATTTCATAATTTATGTATAAATGTAGCATAAAAATAATAGATAAATGCATTTTCAGAATGATATAGTCACGAATGCAACGGCTTCTATACGTTCTTCAATAACGAATTTGTGTGACATGAACCGAGATATCCAAATAGATAAACTTTTATCGGCTATTGGCTGGGAATATCTACGTACAAAAGCTCTCACTCTTGAAGATGGTAGATACAATCAAGTTGAAAAACAGAAAGGGTTCAAGTTTATCAATCCTACTGAAGATTGGTTTCCTGGTATGTATTAAAAAACGCTTTTATTTGAAACATCAATTGAAAATAGAAATATGATTTATTTCAAAGCAATTTCAAGCCTTTTTATTTTCAAACTATCAATTTTATTTAATTATTGTTATAAAAATGAAATAATTGGAATTAGTAAAATAACAGATAATTAATATGTGTGAAATGATCTGATAATTGGTCTATAATATTTTTATAAATTAAAATTGCAGGAATTGATAAATTCACTAACGAGTTCCGTTCTTGGGATTGGAATTTTGGGAAAACGCCGAAATTTACAGTTTCTCGTACGCTGGATGTCCCTGCTCACGATGGTAAAACATATCGTTTGAATTTAACTTTGGAAATACAGAGTGGTATTGTACAAGAAATCAAAATGAGCTTGCCAGCTGGATTAGTATCGACCAACTTCGAGCAAGATGCGAGTGTGATTAGTAATCTTCGCGGCACGAGATACGACCATGAAGTAACAGAAAATATAATCGCTGCAATTGGTGGTAAAACCGTCGTATTGAACACGACTCAAAGCGTAGATGAAAGCAATATAAGGAGGCTTGATGAAGCTACGCTACAATGACCGAATATCTCCGGCCATCACAAATCTGCCGAAAGCTTTATTGTGTTTCAAATAATTATTATTATTACAACTAAATACGTTATTTGTATATATATTATATATACTATATATACATATGTATGTTGTATTACATGTATATAGTATTTTATACGTATGCGTGATATGATGTGTGAGAAAAATGTTAAAAAATATTTGTTACTCAATGGTTTACTATCGATCACTGTCGATGCACTGCTCTATTCATTTCATAAAAATATTAATAGAAAGCATGACTACAAGCTATTTATGTGCTTTCACATCATGTTACGTACTAACATACAGAAAATTTTAGACTATTAATATCTGTTTTTATACAATATTATATTTATAAATTAGATCTTTACACTAAACAAAATATAATAAAATACATTTTAACATTTACATATGTTAAAAAATGACATCGATATCATGCTACATATCGATTTCAAAGTAGCAGAATTGATTTGTAAAATAATTATTGGTTCTGTTATAATAAACATTTTATTTTTTATTCAAATTTAAAATTTCTTTCAGCATTGCATGTTACATAATTCCAATTGTGTGTGTGTGTGTGTATACTTTCTAAATAATAAGTTTAATTTTTTAATAAAATAACTTTTCCCAAATATTATATATAGTTCCACCTACATGCACTATTTTATGTTAATAGCCAATATAATAATGTTATTTTAAATAAAGTATGTTATTTACTACACAGTAGAAGTATATAATATTTAAATTCTATTACAATTTAAAAAATAATTTGTATATTATGCAGTAACTTTAAATATTACTGTTCGACGGTTGTTAGGATTTCCATCTTATCAGCTGTCGAGTATAAATTACTCTGCCAGCCATAGAGTGCGCCATTGTACCAATAGAACAGTTAGTTTTTCATGGCGCGTCGATTCGGAAAGTAAAGCGTAAGCATTTTGTGATGGATTATTCGCGTATTTTGTCCATATTAAAGGTGCATAAGACATGAATGTTTGTCGGTAGTGCTGATTAAATTGATGAGCAATTTCCGGCACGTATTACTTGCCGCTACTGTTTACGATTAACGGCGTTTCGTCGATTGTCTGATGGCTGCGGACTGGGGAACAGGTTATAATTCTAATGAATACAGATTATGATCCTATACCGAAATGTAAAATAATCTCAACATTTACTCAAAGCATTTGTAATTTGAGAATATTGTTTAAAATATTGTTAATTAACAAAGCTTTTTATAAAACGTATAGAAAACATATCATTTTCGTTTAAAGTGGCAGTTAATAATTGAAGTATGAAGATGGCATTACTTCAATTTCTCGATATTTAGGTTGCAAATTTCACAGCATAGGTTTGTCAGTCACAAAATGGATTCCTTCGCATTGATATCACTCCGCAAATATTCTTCGCGATTAATGCTGTTTAAAAGTGAATCACGCATATTTCATCCACCAGAAATGCATTGTGAGTGTGAATTGTCAAGAATGCCGATTAAAGAGCGACGGGCGATTGCCGCGGAAGACATGATCTGTCGCAGATTTTCATTATGTTTCGTCGATCAGTATCGCGAAATGACCGTTACAACCCGAATGAGTAAGCATATTTCATAGATGTGAGCGTGCATTGTCCTTTTGATTTGAAGTAGTATCTTGAAAGTTCTTTTGATTTGAAGTAGTATTTCGAAAGTTTATTTCGTTAAATATAAAATCATCTAGTTTTTCCTGGATAAAACATAGTTATTCTTGCGTTGTACCCGCGTCTGACGACCTTCACATAACCACCAAAACAATCGTCGTTCGTCTCGCTCATTCTGAGCGATGCTTCGCTGTGTTTATGTTTATAGTGTCGTGTGAACCGCGAATTGTTTATGGTTTCCGCATAAATGGGATAAAGTGAATTTTATCTCGATTTCGTGTATTTTGTATACGCGATGTGATAAATTCGTGTAATTTTCGCGTAAGTAAAGTGTGTGTGTGTTAATAAATATGAGTCTTCATGGATTTTTCGATGGAATCGATGCAGAGCAATTCAAGGCGGAACTTAACGAACTTCAATATCCTAGCTGGTGAGTATAATTATTTCAATGTTTTATATGCACACTTGTATATGTTTTATATGCATATTTAAATATATGCATAATTGTGACAACACATGCATATACAAAATTACAATTATTAATTGAAGTGATTAAAAATTTTTTCTCAATACATTTATTTATCAAAATTTTTAAATAATTATGCGCACAATTTACTGCATATAGTTATATTTTAATCAAAATAAACAAAATTAAATAGTACGTAGTAACCACTATGTACAAAGTAAGCTATTTTATAGTAATTAAAATATGTATTAATTTTTCCAGGTTCAGCTGAAAGCGTACTTAGCTAGGATACAACGACTGGTGAGTGAATTCATTTATTATACTTACATAGTGACACAAAAACTAATATAATCACTGCTCTTCTATTCCAATATTTATTGTGTAATTGCTAAAAGATCACGGTTTGACAATTTTTGTCTACGCGCACATAGTTTGCGTTCTGATAAATAAATTATAAAATATAAAGTTAGTTTAGCCTTTAGAAAAAGAAGACTTAATTTTTTATCTCATAGCATGAAGTCATGCTTTACATATCGCTCTCTCGTGAAGAGTTTACTCGTGAAGTATTTACAATATAGTACATGCGAGATACTGTCAATATCACACTTATCCGTGCATTAAATTCAAAATGATTGTAATTGATAATATCACAATGATAAATTGGACTAAAAACTTAAGTATATTGCGTACTAGTTGTAGCAATATTATTGTTTAAATTTGTCATATCCGATGGATTACGATAAAGTCCCGGTCGCTGCATAACCTCGCGATACGGCGGCGGTGGAGTATCAGGGCAAGATGTGATTTCATTGAAATCAACATCTTCAAATTGCCACAGATTCTGTAGTAACGAAACTCTTTGAATATCGTTTCGCTCGCGATATCTGCGACGACAAAGTATCTTTCTTGAAAGCCAAATATAACATATAAATATGCTGCACGCACTACCGAGTAAAAATCCAGTCGCGAAGAGGTAGTACGGCGATATAGCATTTAATATTTTGAAGCTTGTCTCGTTTCTCGTTGCATTAACGCAAGTACTTGTATTGTTGTATGCCGGTGAAGATACAAGAGTCTTTTTTGGCGTGTTTTTCTTTATGTTGGAAATTGAAGGCCGATGCTTCTCGTATTTTATACGTGGATTGTAGATAATCATTTTTTCAAATTTTTTCGGTTCTGCATTTTTCGGTTCTACGGAATTTGTTGTACATACTGCATCATATTGTATACTTTTTTGAGTTAGATACATTTGCAAGTCATGCATAAGTTTATCGCACAACCAGGGATTTCTGGAAAAAAAATTATAACAAATGTTTGCGCTTGTCAAATTATTCTTAAATTAATTTTGCATATATATAATAAAAATATTAAGTATTAAAATTCTTGAAAATATATAGTGTCCTAAAAACGTTTTAAATAGAACTTTAGAAATTTTTCTGGACTTCTTAAAAATGGATTAACTAAGACATTTTTGCAAACGTCTTAAAAACATGCGATATACAAAGATGAAATTTACGATATACAAAGATAAATTGAATATTATATTTATCATTTGTCTCACCCCTGTATTGATAATGTTCTTAATAATTTTGTTGATTCCAAGACAAAGCTTTCCAATTGAATCATTAAATTATTTGAAAGATCAAGGTTACGAAGATTTGGGAGTCCAATGAATGTATCCACCGGGACGTGGCCAATTTTACATGAGTCCAAAGTTAAATCCTAAATAAAATATTATTTTTATTAAATAAAAATATACGTTCCTACAAAAAAATAAATTATTTACTACTCATTAATCAAAGTAATAATGTTGACCAAAAAAAAAATTTACAAGGGGCATAAAAATATGGCTTTTTCTATACAATTTTATTATAAATAAAATTTGATTAAGAATGCATATTATTAATATTAACGTTGAAATAATCGTTTTGTGATATTTTCTCAAAACATAATGCTTTATATAATATAAATATGCGATTATTTGGTACATTCAAGGTTTTTAATGGATATTTTTGTTATTACCGTGAGCCAAGGGCACTTCAATTTCGGCACGTGCGAATTGAAATTGTTTTTCGACAATCGGAGAATTCGCAAACTCTTTGCTGGCATAAAAATATCTGACAAGAGATAATAAAGATGATTTTGTGATAAATCCAAAACCTTCAATTCCGATAATCCGTTAAACGCATTTAGACCAATTTCGCTAATTGAATTCACAGAAAGATTGAGATATTTAAGATTCGACAACTCTGCGTCCTAAAATAAATAATAAATATTCTATTATGTCAAACAATTTTAAATAAGAAAATTATTTAATTTTTCAATTCACTCGATTTTATCTCATAAAAATAATTTACATTTGGATTCACTCGTTGCATTATTTTCAGTAAAATAAAAATAAAAATGAAAATGTTGAGAGCAAGTATCTCTCACTATATTATTACTCTCTATCAGATTTTAAATAGATTTTTCAACGGCAGTTTTGCTTAATAGTTTAAGATCCAAGTTTTTTAAATTAAATATTCAGATGTATCTTATTATTCAAGGTATTGAAGATAAAGGTTCATGCAAATTAAACTTTCAGAGTGTAAATAATAATAGCAATGACAGAGGACTTGAAAAGATTCGCTCGTGGCATTCACAATTAACCTATTGTTTCTGAGGTGTACAAACAAAGAGAAAAATATTATTTTATCTATCTGTACCCTTGAGGCATGATAGATCTGAAATCTAACGTAGGCGGATCCTTATTTAATTACATGTTGCGTGCATATACTCACCGCTAGCTCGTAATTATTTAAAACGGATATTGAGTTATTTGACAGATCTAGAGCTTGCGTAATGCTCGGCACACCTGTGTGAATGCTATAAAGATGGTGTCCGGTGCAGGAGGCGTGCTGCAATCCGTACCAAATATCACACACGCACAACGATCGGCAAACGTCGGAATGCACCGAAATGTCGGTTACAACTACATCGAGAACGAGAGCGATGAGCAAAGTTCTAACTACTTCGCGCGTCATGACGAACCGTTGTAAATGTAGAGAGTTAAATTCAACTATTTTCACCGATTGATGGATTACTGTCTAGTAATTTTGTGTCTGATACGCATTGTGCTTCATCTTCACAAGACACGAAACTGTCGTGTACTGGCGTAATCTTATCTCACCAACATAGCAACGTGTATGACGAAGCGTTGTATAGTATATTGAAGCGCATCATACCGCTAGCGTTATCCTGTTTGCACCTTTTCTGCTTAGGAATTATAGTTGTTGACCGTACCGTGACGAGAATAAAGAGGAAGGAGGGAGGATTATTGTTAATTATCCTATCGGGAAAGAGACGGCACTAATTAGAAATCACGGAAAGATAGAATATGTTCGGTTGAAAAGCAGAAAATATTTTTGTCACCGTAACGAGATTAAGATAATTACAAATTATGACAATTAAAGCTGTCTGCTTGCGCTTACTCTTTAGGAGATTTTCCGAATTTCCCACGCGTGTGATTATAGTATCGCAGCGTTCTCTATGTAATTTTATAAAATTGGCAGAACACGCTTGACGAACACGAACAATTACAAAGTGCTTCTCACAATCAGAAAAAGTACTTTACTGTAAATCAAAAGAAATAATCGCGATAAACTTGTACGGTTGCTAAAAAATATTCGTTCGATTCTACTAAAACATTAAAATAAGCAGACGAATCTACATTTTCAAGTCTATTATTTTTGCGAGGTTTTTCTAAAAAAATTGGATTATAAATAATTATATATCTGTATTTATTTATTGTAATATATATATTTTTTATTTTCTTTATTTTTAAAATTCAGGTTAAATTATTTTATAGTGTTTTTTGATTTCTTATTATAATTAATACTTATTACTCAAAAGAAGGCTAGTACATACACAGTTTTATGATGTAGAAGTTAGTTTAGTTTTATGATGTATATAAATGTATGAATCACTCATTTAACTGCAAATATTGCAAGGCTAACAAATCTGACATTAACCACAGTGATGCGTAGTCGTGTTGTTTGCCTAGAATTAGTGAATATATTTAGATAATGAATCGCGACGAATTAATGAAAGGGGTAAGAGTCATCAGGGGTTTGAGCAAACGACGCTCATTACTCTTTGGCGCTTCTTCCGTACTTGTAATGAGGGCCAGCGATTACCGAGCTGACCAGCGAGGCGCGTACATTGCGCAACGTCCACAGAAATAAATCTAGGATAGGCTGCTGAGAATGCGTGGACCGTTGCCTTCTATTTCGCCGGTTCGCTTCCTCTTATTCCCCCCCCTCCTCTTCCGCGTACCCCGCAACATCTTCCGGCCATTTTCAACGCGCGTCCTCCGCACCGCCATAACGATCATGTCACGGGAAAGCCGTAGCTTGGCGAGCAGCGTCGAGCGGCCGGATCGATCGACCAACGCGACAAAGGTCTCGAATTAACCCGGCATTAATAATCCGCGTCCTCGAGACGCCATGCCGCGTTCGACAGGCGAACATCTACCAGGCGTCCATCGCCGGGCGTCAAACGAGGAAAAGCCGCGTTACTACGCATCAGCCGCATGCGGCACATTAGCTCTCGCAGACTGTCCACTCCTTGGCGTTTCGTCACTGGCGCCCTCAGCTGACGCGCATCTTGGCGGCTTCACGTTGACGATCTACGCTGTACAATTCGAGCATTCTGCGTGTCTGCCCGGTCTACGTCGGCATCGATGAGGAATGACGCTAAACGCGACGCACGCTAGATTTCTGCGTCGCGACGAAACGATGGAATGTACTCGCGCCAATTTGCGCTTTGTACTTATTACGCGAAACAGGCTTTTGCAAATGTCTACCGTTGGTAGCACGCTTCGACGATCCCACGCGCAGACACTCCACTCGCCGTGCGTCATCACCGGGCGACTCAGCTGACGGAAAATGGCCGACCTGCACTGACAGCTGAAGCGGAAACCCGGATTCTCTCTGCAGAAACGCGATACGGAATGTAGCCGACATCGTTTCAACGCCCGATGCACGTATCGCCGATCTCTCGTAACAACGCTCTGCCGAAATACGGCGTATTTCACGAAAAATTCGATACAGTATGGTATGGGGGTATCGGTGGGAATGTCTAGCGAAGCGAGAAGCTTTGTCGAGCGGCCGGTCACTCGCGTCGTTTCGTCATCGGCGTTCTCAGCTGACGGCAAAACAACTGCCCGAGCGTATTTATCGTCAACAGCTGATTGCCGTCGCGACGAATCCGCTGAAAAACCACACGCACTCTCGTCTAACCATCGAGACTTATCGAGAAAAGCGATCATGAAGCATCTCGCGTCGAGTATTCGAGCAAGAGGTACGGCACGTAAAGTCGGCGTCGCCTCGCCGAAACGCCGGGAACGCCATGTACGCAAGCTCGTCGATGCGGGAGGGGGGATGCGGGGAAAAGGTCTTCTTGGCGAAAGAGGGGCGGAAACAGAGTGGAGCATCTCGCCGAGCAAGCGCTCTTTGCCCAGGCTTCTAGCCTGCGATTTTTTCCCGTTCCTCTCGTTGTCCGGGCGGTGGGCCAATCGGAGTAAGTAGGTCAGCGCGAGCAGCCAATCGGCGCTCGAGGCCGGGTCACGTGGGTTTGTTGTTATCTATCAGCTGTTTTTCCCGGACGGGCGGGCGGCCGGCCGGCGCAGTGAAAGCCGCTTTGGCAGTCTGTCCTCAGTCCCTCCCGGTCGCTCAGCTGTGCGTCACATGTCGGGTATCGCGAGTCCTTCTCCCGTACGGATTACTGCGAAACGTACGACTCTAACCCGGCCAGGCCGCCGTTCAGCCCCGGATTTCCGTCTATCATCGACGCACGTCATCAGTCCTGTATTATTATGCTGTCAGCCGTGTGCAAGCCAACGTATCACCACGAATCGATCACGAAGTGCCTCGAATATGCGGACGGCGTGACGAACGCGGGCGACGGTGCACGCCGCTTTGTTGATACGCTGAGTTCTGTGTTCAGGCCGCGGAGGCCGCCGCGTCTCTCCAGCGTCTAAAAAAAAGATCGACGGAGTTACACCGCAAAAATTTAAACTGCCACCGCCGGCGGCTGGTATACGCCGGTGTGGTGATAGGTGCGTACGAAAAGCCGGTCGGGTACGATGACCCGAAGCGAGATGAAAGAGGGATAGAGCGGATTGAACGAGCGAGAGAGCGATAGAGCGACCCTTGGAATTTAATGCGGTGGAATGACGCCGTTTATCTGCATTCATCGATGTCCTTTCGGGGGTGAGTGTCTCAACGAATCGCCGAGTGTTATCGAGCACGCTACTTGAGCGCGCGTGTTTATTCTCGCACTTTGAATTACGAACTTTTGCGTCGCGTGCGCGCTGCTGCGTCTCCGGCGTGATTTAAACGTGACTGTGCATCCGTTTGCGTCGTGAATCCGCGCGTCTAACAGACTACGACCGCCAAATTGAACATTATCGGAACAGTGCGTCCGCGTGTATCGCGAGTGGACGAGAAGACGTGGAAAGGACCAAAGTGTATCGCGTGAATGTTTCGCATCTCGTGCCGCGCGTCCACCGAGTGCCGCGCGCAACGAGACTCCGGTGCGAGAAAAGACGACCGGCTAGGACGAGCGAGTGATCTTCCGCGCTGAACGCGGAGACAGGGATCTCTATCGATCTGCGCAACCACGCACGTACACACACACCCACACACGCACACACACACACATACACACATACAGCGAGCACACCGACCGTGCGATATCGCGTCATCGGCAGAAGCTGCGAATAATGTCGACGGGCAAGAGGCTGGCGAAGCGCAGCATAATCGGCACCAGGGTCTGCGCTCCCGGTGAGGACGGCAAGTATTACAGCGGCGCCATTTGCGCCGTCAAGACGCCGCAGACCGCCTCCGCCGAGTCGCCTGGTCAGAAGGGCATCACGGCAAAGACTCTCTACTCCGTACGCTTCGACCCCGTGCAGGGCTCGCCGAGTTCCAGCAACGAGTACGCCGATCACGATTTGATCGGTCCCGGCTTCCACTCCGTCACCAGCGCCCGACTGGTCCCCGGTCAGAAGGTGTATCTAACGTACAACGGTAGGGAGATTCACGCGGAGGTCACGGAACATCGCCAACATCTCGACGAGGTGGACGTGGTCATTGCCCCGAACGGACAGGAGGTGAGTCTGTGTTACATTGTGTTGTGAATGTGTATGTTTTGCGAACTCGCGATCGCCATGCGATCTCCATGCGGCGACACGTGTGAGTAGTGGGCAAAATTTATCGTTGATATTATTCGCGCAGTATTGTTACGCGTGGTAAATTTTAGGTGTAAAGAGAAATAATAGCGAAATTGTTTAAACATATGTGTAAGAATACAGTAATATTGATATGTTGTTTTCGAAATATTATCTTGCTTTTGAATTATTAAATCAACGATAAATATTGTTTATGAAACAGTTCAAGTAAATCCTCAATAGATGAATTTTATTAATTTCTAATGCCGGATTCCAAATCTAACATCGTTCGAGATATCCGGATCTTATCAATTTATTATCATATTATCACTTCTCGCTATAATTTATCTCTTTTTGAGATACTGTGTGATTTATGTAGTCATGTAAACAAGATTTATAAAAGAAAGCTGTCGATCGTAATATTCAATGTTTAAATTTTTATTTTTTTATTTTACATTAATTTTTTTATACTATGCACTTTAAAAAAACTTTATAGTATCCTGAGAATTTAATTATTTAAAGCAATATTGAAAAGCAAATTTATTTGCGCAATTTATTCGATAGAAAGTACTTGCAGTACTTTCCGAACTTTCCTAGCTTCAGGCGACGTGTATTCTTAAAACAGAAAGCATTTTTTCTCTGCGAATTATCTTCAATCAACGAAGAAAGTTTCGCTGATAGGAACATAAGTGATGAGATGATAGTATAAAAAACAAATTTTTAAATATTAGTCTTCATCATTCCGCTTTGAACTCACGGGTCATTTCCGCTTGCTCGATCAGATATATCCAAGTCAAATCGATTAATAAAACGTATCTCGAACTTCGAAAAGCGTAAAAAAACCGGTTTTTGATCTTTCTTATTTTATTTTAAAAAATGATAAGATTGGGAATTTATTGTGAATTTAAATGTTGGATGACTCATCTTGTATTTTTATTTATTCATGAAACGCTGTCGAAAGTAAAAGCTCGCAGCGCATGATGCGCAGCACTTTGGAGCCGGTTATAGACTATCAATGCGATTGGGGTATTCTTAGCGTCCAACGATTTAACGATCCTTAAAAAGATTAACGAATCGAAGGCGTAATATCGCGCGGGCAAACTATGCGGCGCATACGTGATATGGCGTCATTCCGGGTACGCTTGCCGGGTCTCGTCGTCGCATCGATGCAGGTTAACGCGCGTCAAAGCGAGCGAAGTACGCTTGCGCTCACGCTACCATTCGTACGCCGATGATTGTGCGAATGCTCGCTCTTCCAGAGCGGAGCAATACGCTCGTCCGATAACATCATCGACGATTCAAGTCACAGGATTCTGAGCGTGATCTGATTTCGTCAGATTCACGCTACGATTCCCCCTAATTTGACGATAAATTCGACGTTTCTATCGCGATACGCGCTGATGCTAGACGCGTCGGCCTTTCCGAGCAATCGTAGATAATTTGTTACTATGAGCTTATAAAACTACATATTCGAGTGAACGGGCTCGGCACCGGGCAACAAAATAAAGATACGCGAGCTGTTAAAAAGAAAGAGTCGTGAAACGTTCGGTCGGACCGACGAGGACGCCGATGTGCGCGTGTGTCGTTAATCAGAAAATTTAATTTTCGTGACCTCGTTCCTAAAGTGGACGATCGAGTGGCTGGCCCATTTACACGGTGCGCATGAGCGCGATGCTCTCCCCCTTGCGTTGACGGGATAGATGATAGTAGGAGGGAGGAAAGCTTCACCTCGCACGCGTTGCATCCCAATTCGAACGCGTTGGTACATGCCGAGCTTCGACACAGGAAAATTTAACCGCGCCTGCCTTAAATTGCCTTCTTTTTTTTTGCCACTTTTGATCGGCGAAAGACACTTGGCTTATCACGATTAGAAAATGACTAACGAGATGATAACTGGAGAAACCAATTTTTGAATAACTGAATCTTCATTAATTATTTTCGAATTCTTGGATTATCTAATTCTAATTTTTGAAAAATGTCAAAAGCTGATTTCAGGTTTTTTTCTCTTTAAATAGATTTTTTCCGATTTAAATTTTGATCAGATTTCTCGAAAATATAACACAAGTGTATTATCTTTTTTCGTAGTTGTTACTGATATTGATGAGTTTTTAATGTTAACTGAATCTTCGAAATACAAAGTTAATTTAGAATGCGTTACTGTCGCAGTTATTAAATCGATATTGAAGACGATAATACTAAATTAATAATCTCTCAGCATTGGATAGAGTAATATAAAGTGATTCAACTGTCGAGATTGTTTTTTAAAACAGTATTATATGCCAGCGCCCTATCAATATCGGTACGCCAAATACAGTAAATTTACGAAGCCGGGCCAAGGAACGTCTCGCTGCGGACCCGAGACGGTAAAATTGAAAGTCGATAAGCGGACGGGTTAACGAGTGGGTTAACAGAGGGAAACGCTCCTCGTGTCGTTGACGTCACACGATCCGTACATGATGCGCGATCCATCAATTTTCTCTCGGAGCCGGCTCGAATTACGGGCTATCCTGTCATATGCAATTTTTTTACACTCGCGGAAACGCAGTGCATGTAGTATGTCGCGATAAATATTATATAATACAAGAGATAAGTTGCCAATTAAAAAATGTATTCATTTCAAATGTCGGTACATTATTTTACACTACGTACTTACACAATATTTTTCAACAAGGAGTAACAATTTATTAAATGAATACATAGCAACATTAGTCCTGAATTTAATTTTGTAAGTTAATCCGCGGCAATCGTTTCTTAGGAAAATCGAGGAAATTATCCATTAACTGAACGAAATCCTCTTCTTAAGTGGGAAAAATCACCGATCTGAAACTTATATCCACATCGCTTACATCCACCTGACAGCGGGGTTTTATCCCTCAGGTAGTATGTATACTATCACGCTCGGTGAAGCGTGCCGGAGGAATACACGTAGCCGCGATACCGCTACGTGGGCGCGGTAAGATTCGTTATGAGAGGCACTGGCCGGCGGCGATTCCACACGCAACGTAAGCGTGAGCGAGGCGAGCGCGCGAGCAAGCAGCGCGGCTTTATGCGTGCGCGAAGCGGATACGGTAGTACTCGCCGGTGCACCGGCTACCGGGGCTGACCCCACGTGGAACGCATTAACGCAATATCTCTCTACCTCCGTTAGACAGCTCAGGCGTGACCGGCGCGCGGCTCCATTTCGCAGAAACTGCGGCGTGCCGTGGAAAAACGAACCGGATCTGTACTGTAGTTCGCCCCGCGCGTCCGGTTTTTCGCGACTTTATTGTGTAGACTCCCCCTTCATCCCCCTTCCGACTGTACGTAGCTCTTTTATACGCCGTGTCGCCGGCACGGTGCTGCTTCGGGAATCGCTCGACCAACTGCGGAGCGTCTATGATTTACGATCGAATTCCTACGATAAATGCGTAATATTTTGTAGCGTCAAGCAGAGCTGTTATTATCCGGTATCCGACCATGATTTTTGTCTCGGACGCGAGGGTAACGTTACATGAATCTCTTCGCAAAACCTTATAATTTTTCAAGATTATCGTGTTTCCGTATTCACGGATGATTTACATTACAATTTATATCGATTCCCTAGAAAACCGTAAGAAGTTTCATATCCTGGTTGTTGACCAACTCTTCGAGGTACCACTGATTGCGAGGCGCCGCAATTAATGACTCGATAGATTTTCGAAGCGTAGTAATGATCCTTCAAACGAATATCGAAACGCGTAAATGAATGCCATTTGTTTACGCATATAATATACATAGATAAGCAGAACACGTTCACGCGTGCGCACACATACGTGCGTGTGGTTGATTTTTAACGACGTCGAAGGTCGCTCAACCGTGAATCAGTAAATAGTGGAGGCTGTTTACTCGTTAATGCAAATAGGTGTAGGTGGTAATTTTCGAAGCTTCCGTAGGTTTCTATAAGTACTTTATTGCGAATTCCCGTAATAATTTTATGCGAGGCGCGGACATTTTCATACGCCTCTTTACGATGAAATGTTAATTAACCACCATTAACCTTTAACTGCTCGGCGGGAATCAAAGTGCATTAGTGTCCGCGTAATACTTTCCAAGTGTCGCGACTTAGGATTATTCGTAATTTCATAAATTACTACTTTTATGGTCAATTTTTGATATAATTAATTATCTATAAAATACAAGTTTTCGAAATTTATTAAAATGTAAAAATTACATGATCCTGTTATTAACATTATATTGATATAAAAGAAAAAATGAAAACCAGGAATAAAATATTCCTAGAGCGAGTGTACAAATTGTCGGGTTAATAATGCAAAATTGCAGGTTAATAATACAAATGACTGAGATAATAAGCAACGATATGTATATATGTATACGATGTTCATTCAAGCGTGAAACCGTGAAAAAATATAAATTTGCTACGGTGTTAAAATTTATATATAAGTAGAAAGGCATAAAAATTCAATAACATATTTTAATTATTAATTTTACATTAAACGTGATACAGAGATGTGAATAGAGATATGAATAGCGTACATTATATTATCACATAACTTCCACATCTCAGGAATGACAACAGTGTATCCGTGCCAAAAGATCTTGATGACAGCATCTTTAGTCGTTCGATCAATCATCACATTTCTACGCGAGACAGGTGCAAATCTCTTGGTATTCGTTAACTTATCAATCGCAAGCCGCTACTTGTTGACTTATCAATCACAACCTTGCAAGGTTGAGTCATTCAGATTGAGCACCGCTGAATCCTGCATTTCACTGTGATGAGAGAACTGCGCACGTAGATCGCAGTGGAAGTGCGTTTCACAGAGGCAGAAATACACACAATTTTTTCTAATTTTTGTGCTAAATTTACATCTCAAATAATTCTGAAGATATTAATTAAATTTATAATTAAGAGTTTAGCGAGAGAGAGAGAGATGAAAAACTTTCTACCGACAAAACTTTGTTTT